GCGAAACACATGTTTAAGGACATTTCAGAAATTGTTTGCAATTCTGTCTTAATTTCGTGTCAAAACTCATTAAATAAACTTTTATAAAACTAAAGTCAGCAACTAAAGCAGCAATTTTTAAAATCAAACGTTTGGGAACCAAAGAGATGGCTCGACAGATAAAGATGCTTGCTTCCAAGGCTGACAACCTGAGTCATATCCCAGGGTCCACACAGTGGGAGTGAAGAACCTACTCTGCAAGCTGTTCTCTCTCTCTTCACACAGGCTCTGTGGCCACATTGGTTCTAGCCTCGCGATAAATAAACACAATAAAAACTTGTTTTAAAACATTCTAACACATTCTAACACAAAGCAATCTAAAGACATAGTAATTTAAAACTTCAATGTTGAGGAACAAGAACAGGAAAACACTAAGCTCTTAGCTTTCCATAACTAAGCCATTATTTATACAAGAACAGGAAACCATACACACAGTAAGAGCACTGCAATTCCTAACAGCAACCTTGAGTCTGAGCCTGGAAGCTGTGGGCAGCACTCATTGGAGGTGCATAACAGGGTGGCATCGGCAGTACCAAGTATACAAGCCTCATGTACCATGAGCCCACTATACAACTGATTCTTAGTTAATTTTTGATCACTCATTCTTGAGAAGCTTTTCCTGTTGCCACTATTTTTCACCATCCTAACATTCAGTTGTGCAATCTCACGGGTCACATCCCGAGTTCAAGAATCTGTGTTCTACCCAGAAACACCCAGTGACAGAGACTGCAGGAACACAAGAGAAAGTCAGTTCTCACCATTGTCTATGAAGCAGGGCAAACAGTGCAGCAGCATCAGACGTCCATGCAGATGGCTGGCATTCTCGTCCACAGGGAACCTGAGGGGCACTCTCAGTTCGAAGCGCTCATTTCCTGCCTTGAATTTGTACACGAATTCTCTTTCCTTGTTGCAGAATCTTTCTCGGCTTTTCTTCATATTCTTCAGCAGGATTTCTGCCGAATGAACAAAAAAGGCCACTGGTCAAATGTCCACGTTTCCTTATTGCTGCAACACTTCTAAGACACAGCCCAGTAGCACTCACGGACTGCACCCCTGCAGTTCTGAACCAACTATTCCAATTTCTATTTTACTTCTGTTTCATTTTAGATATGGTCTCACTGTGAAGCCCAGGACAGCTTAGGACTCACTATGTAGCCCAGGGTAACTTCGTTTAATCTTCTTGCCTCAGCATCCCCACCAACCCCCAAGAAGTGAGATTATAGATGTGCACCACCACAATCAGCCTATTCTAGTTTTTCCTGTTTGTTCCTGCACATTTGTCTTCATGACAAAAAATGCTTCTTTTTCCTTTTTTGAAAGTGAAAAGTTATTTTAAAGTTAATTTCAGGGCAACAATATGCTCAGAAAGTACGTTTATTTCTAGGCAGGAATAAAAACTATTTAATATGAGGAAAGGAACAGAGGAACAGAGATGGGGACAAGAGGATCCTTGCGGTGTGTAGAGTTTGTGGAACTGGTAAAGCATCAAACCCAACAGACCGGGTGGATTCTTGAAGATATTAGATATGGTGGTCATGAGATATGATGGAAAAAGGGTAAGAGAACAGAGAAAGATCTCCAAGTGGGAAGCAATACACAGAAGAACAGACCATACATGATGCTGCCCACAAGGCAAACTGGACATTATTCAGAGAAAAGCAAACATAGTAGAGAGTAGGAATAAACATCCCTTAAAAGTCTACTCAGCAGCCTCCTAACTGGACTTCCCATTGCTAGGATTTCCCCCACCAAATCAGTTCTTAGACTGTTCTCTTCCTAAATCATAGTAACCTTTCTTTAAAAAAAAAAAGCACGTAAGCATGTATGTCCATGTATGTCATGTGTGTCAGAGCAGCAGCGCCTTGGAGGTCTGGTGGATCTCTGTCTTGCTTCAACAGTGCTTCGAAGGAACAGATGGGGACTCCCTCTTTGTCAGTGTTCATCCACTTTTCAGTCTCTCCAGTCACAGCCTAGGACCAGCCAGCACCATTTCTTTGCAGAATTAGCTTGGTACTGCAGATCAGCCGTGACCTCTCAGATTCGTCAAAATTATTCCACCAAAGTGGAAGCTGCTGTGAACGGCCTGCCTGATCAACTTGCTCCTATGGGCCTCCTACACCTACCTCTCTCTAGGCTACTATTTTGATCGGAATGACATGGCTGTGGAAGCCACTTCTTCAGAGAATTGGCTGAGGACGAGCATCTCCTCAAGTTTCAGAACAATCGATCGTGCCCCTCATCACACACACACACACACACACACACACACACACACACACACACACACACACACATTCTTCCAGGATGCACAGAAGTCATCTCAAGATGAATGGGGTAAAACTCAGGAGGCCATGGAAGCTGCCCTGGCTCTGGAGAACCTGAACCAGGCCCTCTTGGACCTTTATTCACACAGATCCTCATCTCTATGACTTCCTGGAAAACCACTTCCTGGATGAAGAGGTGAAGCTCATCTAGAAGATGGGCAACCACCTGACCAGCCTCTGTAGGCTGACTGGGCCACAGCCAATGCAGACCGGCATAACACAGCCATCTTTGGGTGAGTATCTCTTTGAGCAGCTCACCTTCAAGTATGACTAGGAGGCCTTGCCTTCCAAGGGGCTCCTTCTTCTACCCTGCACCAGCCAGCCTCAGAGCCTTCACCTGAACCTCTCAATCCACTAGGCAGCTTTGTAACTGCCCTGGAGCCCCACCCAGGTCTTGGACCAAGTTAAAACAAGGCTCTTTGAAACAGGAAAAAAAGAAATAGCACATATACGCACACACATATCTGAAGCATGCATACACCCACATATATATCTGAAGTTCCCCCAAATACAATACAGATTCTTGTCATTGTTCTTGGTTGCCCACAAAAACTAGATGATGAACTCTACTGCTAACGACACTGCACAGCTCAGTTGATGATGTTTCCTCTCTGCTGGGTAGCTTTTATAGTCCTGGAAGATACTATGCAGGCTGCTGTGGGAAAATGTTATTAATGGTCTCATCCAGCTGTGAACTATATTAAACTGTCAGGCAAGATGTGCCCACCTGTGCACTCTTTCTGTCGTGAGAGTATCCAGTGTGTTCTGCCTGGATTTAAGGTTAGCTCTGTAGGGGAAAAGGGCCAGACAAATAAACACATCCTGAGCAGAGCCAAAGGAACACACTTTGGCCCTAGAATCAGAGCCTGTGAAAGACAGATTCACTGGGGAAGCCCTTCCCTGCTGGAGCAGAGCTGATACTCTGGGAAAGCCTTTCTCTGGAGCAGGGCTGTAAGCTGCTATGGTTACTGTAACCTAAGACTCCCCTTTGCCAAACAGAGTACCTTTCCATCTGAGCTGTAACACTTAGTATTCTGTGGCTCCCGAGTGCCAGGGTACCCTTTCCATCTGAGCTGTAATGTTTACAGGCTCCATAGGAGCAAATCCCCACTTGGTACTATAACCCTGGTCAAAACCCCATAGCAGATAAAATCATAGGCCCTAGGAGGAACCGTAAATACCAATGTTCAGGTAGACTGACAGTGTTAAACCATCTTCTAAATATTGGTACCCATAGATAATACTACTCTCAGCCTTAATCAGAGAAGTGTCTCTTTCCAGTGAACAGTAGTGAACGCAGAGACTCTTTGTGATGACACGAGGTGCTGAGAGGAAGTGATAGAAGAGTGCTTAGCCCCAACAAGACATTTATAGCACTCATTTCGAAGGCTCAAGGAACACTGCAGCAGAGGGAGTGGAAAAATACAGGAGCCAGAAGATCGAGCAAAGGACGACAAAATGACATTTTCTGGGCAAGACCCCGCCATTGAAGTGAAAAACTCACTGCAGTTTCGGCTGCCTGCACTGGATCTGCATAAGAATAAGGCGCGTCAGCAGAGGAACCCAGGCCTTACTAGCTAGCAGCGGAAGGGGCATCATTGTCTTCAATTGTCCGCTGGTGTCCCCGACAGGCTCCAGCGAGTAGTTGCAACCCAATGCGCAGACATCTGGTCTGGTTAAGTTAAATGGGATACAAAACCAAACCAAAACTTCCCAGAATCTGGAAAGCGGACCCGGTAGGGATGTGGGGGTTAGAAGGAATGCTAAAGTAATAGGGGTGGGAGGGGCATATGGGAAGGAGAAGGAAAGAGTAATCAGAATGCATTGCAAGCATATGACAGAACAATAAAAAATGAACATCTTCATGCTATTATAATTTGCTTATGAGAGTCCGCTGATCTCGGGATAAATTCATCTTAAGACAGTTTACGTCTCCGGATTCTTTGGGTGTGCTCACACCCTGCCAGAGAGCAACATGCAACCTACAAATCTAGTGTTCCACATATACTGAGCTGTCCATGCCAAGCTGCACATCCGCACTTTAGTGGCAAGGAAGCCTGCTCGGGTTCCTTAAGCCTGCATTACATGCTCTCACTGGGACCTCCACAGTGAAGGGAATACCTCGCGGTTGGCATGGGCTCACCTCTTTCCTCAGAAGCCAAAGCAGACTTTGAGCTGTCAACGCAGAGCTGCCGGATAAATCAGCTGACTTCTGGCTTGTTTTTACAACCAGCGGATTCTCTTTGGCAGATTCGCTACTCTCCGTTCCCCTTTCCTCGCGCCCCAAAGAAAATTCCAATTCAAGAGCCCCTTTGTTCCATTCCTCTTTAAGTTATTCGTTATAAAAGTTAGAGGAGTGTTACTACTTTTATATTTTATTTTAGAGTCGGTACCAAATCGCTGCTGTGACGAAAGTGCAGCGTGAAAACAAACACTGGGTCCGGACCACCAGGATCCGGGATGGTGTGCACCGGGAAAGGTGTGTGAGCGCAGGCGCGCTCTTCTCAACACGCAGGCGCCGCCTCCCGCAGGCGAGCAGTAATTGGCCGGCTGGCGCAGCGGGGCGTGGAGCGCGATGTATGGGTTTGGGCGGGAATTGAGACCGCCGCGGCTGCTCTCCGACTCCGGAACGCTGCTGCTCTAGGCTGAGGACGGGCACCATGGTGCGCCCCACCAGGTGAGCAGTGGGTGGCGTCCCGCGGGGCCACGCTGGAGGCCATTGTCACACAGGGTTGAAGAGGGGGTGGGCCTGGCGGAGGGCAGCGGGTCGGATCGGTGGATGATCGTCGCCAGTCTCTGGTGAGAGCCGCTGCTGCTGAGTGGCCGACCGGGCATCCTGCTTCCCGCCTCTCGGTCTCCCTTTGCAGCCGTTGCCCGCTGACCCACACTATTCCAGACAGAACAGGCAGGTTAGCGTTTGAACTGCGCTTTGCGCTACACCGAGAGAGCACGTATGTGGCCTTCATGTGTTCAGCACTGCAGCCCCGAGCCTGTTTTATGGCCCCCAACCTCCTAGGCAGAAAGGCCCATTTAAGTTGTAGCGACCTGTGACGTACCTCCAGTTCCTCTGTATTTTCCATCGTACAGTTGGAATCCGTGATCACAGCTGGGATGCTAGGCCATCCATCCGTTTTGTAGAATTACCGAGTATAACTTAGGATATGGGCTCAGGGGTGGAGTGATTGCCTAGTACATGAGAGGCCCTGGGTCCTATCCCAGTATTGCACAACCAAACAAAAATAAACTTAGTGAATTCACTTAGTCCTGTACTGTACTAAGAGCTGGCGGTTACCCTCTAGTGGAAGATGGGGCAGGGGCAAAATAAACTCCACAGTGTGACCCAGTGGGAAGGAGGAAAGCCTTACTTTAGAGTGGAGGGTCATTGAGACAAAATATAAGAGGCATCTTAATAGATGAGTAGAAGCCAAGGCCATGAGCTTGACCATGTTAGAGAGACATTGAAGGTGTGCTTGTAACAAGCAAGGGGGAGAATCGTTGAGCATTAAGTCAGATAAATAGTTAGGTGCCAACGTAGATAGGGCTTTGTGGGCTTTAGAAAGGAGTTGGGGTTTTAGTCTAGGCCAATGGGAGATCAGTAGTTTTAGTGTAGGTAGGTGGGAGTTATTCTGATTTTACTTTTATAAAGGTCACTGGGAGCAAAAGTGGCCAGAGTGGTAGGCTAAGGTATCACCAATTTGTGATTTGGCACAGTGTGGGTGTGGAGACAGAGCAGGTGACTTTAGGTACTTCTGACAAGTGGATATGGAGATGAGGAGACAAGGACAGAATCAAGGTTGACAATGGCCTGAGCTACATAGTGGATGATCTTTGTATTGACTGAGATTGGGAACTCTGAAATAATGAGGTTTAGAAGGTAGAGTTAGACTAGATTTCTGTTTCTTACGTGGTAAAGTTGAAAGGGATAGGCGTACAGGTAGTGAAGACATAATACTGTTGGTAATATGTAGTAGAGTGTGGTCTCCAGGCCCTAGGGTCCCCTGAATCCTCAGGCCTGTGGGGTCATGACTATGGTGTGCTTGTGTTTATGATTTTGTGTACATGATAGGGGTGGAAATGGTGGTACACATTCCATGTCTTGAGTGTGGAGGTCAGTGGATAACTCTGGAGTCATTTCTCTCCTACTTTTTCATGGATTCCAGAAGTTGAGGTTAGGGCATCAGGATTGCACAGCAATGAACTTTACAAACCAAGTATCACTAGCCCATCACTTTTGGTACAGTAAAACCAAGACATTTGTTTTCACTCTGACTGAACTTAACACAAATTGAGGCAGTGATGGTAGTAGTTATTGCAATTTCTATGGCCACATACTCAGATTTTTAAAAAGAGAAGCATTTATGGACTGGAAGGCTGGCTCAATAGTTAAAGAGTGCTTGCTGCTCTTCCAGAGGACTCAGGTTCAGTTCCCGGCACCCACTTCAGACAGCTCACAACTCTTCCAGCTCCAGGGCATCCAGTGCCCTCTTCTGGCCTTCACAGATAATGTACTCATATACATATACCTGCACACAGGCACACACATGCGCACAGAATTAGAAATCTTTTTTAAAAGTAATGGTTTTCTGCATATCCCTCACCCCGCTGGGTTTCTAAAATACGATAGGGAGTTTGTGTTTCATGAACCAGGAAGAATTAATGTGTGTGTTAAACCTCAACCTGAGTATACTTACCTTTTTAGGAGGCTTTAGGTTTTATTTACTAGTTTTCAATTCGAGCGTGTTTAAAGATGCTGTCGTACTTCATGCAGCTGTCATACCCTGAAGAATGTAAGAGTGGCAGGAACACCTCCTTTAATGTGTGTGAGGCTACAGGCAGGCACACACGGTAGTTCTCCAAAGGGCTGGACACACCTCTTTCACAGAACTCCACTTTTGCTTGAAAGAGCAGACAGCTGTAAACAACAAGCTTGTTTATGCGGGGCATTTAATAGACCACAGAAGGGAAAACTGGACAATGTTGTGTTTCTTTCCTAGAGGAGGGAAATTAACCTTTTCATGTTGAATAGCCTTTTCCTCTGCCTATTTTAGTTCCTACAAAGATGGTAGGGACAAACTATTTTAAAGTGTCCGTCCCATTAAAAAGACATAATTTGGTATTGTAGAGAGATTTCTTTTAAATATTTATTTTACTTTTAGGTGTATTTCTGTGTGTCTATGTCGATGTGGGTATGTATACATGAGTGTAAATGTGTGAGGAAGCCAGAGGGGTTTTAACCCCCTAGAGATGGAGTTATAGGTGGTTGTGGGGTGCCCAGCATGGGTGCTGATGACGAAATTCAGGCCCTCTGAAGGAGCAGTTCATATTCTTAACCACTGTGACTCCACCTCTGAAGGATTTTTTAAAATATGTCAAAACTGAAGAGATACTTTATAATGTAAACAAAGAACTAGCACAAAGGAATTTATAAATGCCCAGTAGCCACTAACAGAATATAAGTGTTAATTGATAATTATTTGTATTCTCCTTTAGTTGGGGGTTTCTTGAATTAACTTTTTCCCCATATCATATCTATCAGGTATGGTTTTGGCTTTTCAATTTAATGCCAAGTTCTTTGTGTTAAATTCAAATAATATTTTGGGTTGAAGTACTTCTAAGAGACCTCAAACACATTTTCCTTTCTTCAGGACTATTAATAACTTTAAAGTGAAAGTAAAAAAATTACTATTTGTATTAATGAAAAATTTTCTGTCTTGATCATAGAAATAAAAAACCAGTCAATTACTCACAGTTTGAGGACTCTGGTGGTGACTCTGATGGTAAGTAGAGCTTTTTACTTTTGCTTAAGAGATAGAGAAATTTATTCCTTCGGAGTTAAATACTGAGAAATTGGACCCTGAAAGCTTAGGCTTAAGCTTTGCCGAATTGCTTCTGTCTTTGTTGTCAGAACTTTGATCACAGTTTGAGAAATATTTCATTAAGTTACAGTGTATTTGTAGTAGAATTCTTTTTTCCTCTGTGTGCTGGGGATCAGTCCCAGGGCCTCCCATGTGCTGAGTAAATACTCTGCCACTGAGCAATAACCTCATCCTGGAAGTAATTTACACTTCCTTCCCACACCAGCATAGTTTCCTTTAAGTCAAACACTTTAGCAGTTTCTCTGTTCAGAGAAATCTCTTTTGCATTAAGTGTATATACAACTTGTGAAAAAATAGTATAGCAGATAACTTTTAGCTTTCTGTCATTGTCAAAGCTATGTGACCAGGTACTTATAAGTTGCCAGTTGTGTTCGTGATACTAGGAGGGTTGGAATGTGCAGAAAATTCTAAGATAGATTTCCATATGTGGAAGCATGAAAGAAATATGTTAACAAATTCTTTTAAAAGGTGTGTGATCCTACGGGTATACGTTCATGTGTCATGCATGGGTTTTTTTAGTACCCTGAGAAGAACCATGGGAGTCGTGAGGGTTTAGGGGATTGGAAAGGCTGTGAGAAACAGGAGTGGGTTGGGAGAGTGATCAGAGCAGAGGAAGGCCGTGGGTCTCGGGTAGACAGCTGGTGTGGGACCACTTCGCCTGCTCAGTGGTTCTTCGTGTTTCCTTAGGCTTGGTTTCTTACTACTGATGTACGTTTGTAGACATGCTGGGCTACACATGAAGTTTAGTTAAATCATTTCCTTCTGATTTTCCTAATGATTCTGTGGGTTTTTAGTTAATTGTTACATCTGACATTTATGAACTCTTTTAATTTACCTTTGTAGTCTGCAGTGAATTGGATTTTGATAGGTTGATATTTTTAAAAAACAAGCCACCATTCATCTTGAGATGGACGAGTGAAAGTAGAAGCAAATTGTTTTATTGATTTTTTTAAAGTGTACAAATTAAACATGATTGTGCATAAAATGTGGGTAAATGAATTTTAGCTACCAAGAAAATAATTTTCCTTCTTTTAATTTATGCAAAAATAGATGATTTTATTTCGACAACCATGCCTAGAAACAAGAAGTCTAAAACCATGCCAAAGGAGGTAAAGCAAGACAAACCAAAACCTAACTTGAAGAATCTTCCAAAAGAAGACATCCTGCCAGCGAAAGCCCCTAAAAAAAGGTGAGAGGTAAGACACAGAGAACACAGGGTGTCCTCCAGATGTGCTTATTCAGTGCCTCGGCTTAAATGGGGGTTTGCGTGGGGGCTGAGTGGTGTTTGCAGCACAGGGAGGTGTTGTTTAGTCTTCCGACTTCCTTCACAGACATAAAAGAGAAAAAACAACTGGAAAGTTTTTGGGTTTTTTTTTTTAATTAATAACATTTTGTAATATTAAATAATGATGTTACTAACCCTATATCTATTCCTGCCCCTCAGACCTCATAAAGCTATTTTGTTGAAAGGATAAGTTTAAGATCAGTTTTAAAACAAACATTTTAAAACATTTTTCCCTCTAAATAAAAGATACTTTCTCACCATCTTGTGTAATTTGTTCAACAAAGAGAAGGTCCTATAGTGTCTAGGCTAACCCTGACACCTCATCATTTGGTACCAAGAGGGAGAAGGCAGTCTTAAGTGACCCCAAAATGATTGTGCACAAAGGAAGGGGTGGGTGGGATGGGTAATATTTTACTGTTAAGGGTTCCTCTGTGGAAAGTTAATCAGCATTAAGAAATGTCATTCTCTGTACTGTTTGTTTCTATTTTGAAGGTCAAAGATGGGATTTTAAATATAAGACAAGCTCAGTCCATAAGCGGGAGACAACATTTGCAGATGCAACTTAAGTAACTTGCATCCTAAGTATATAAAGAACACTTAAGTTCTGCAATGAAAAGGCTGTAGTCTAATTTCAACGTATAAAATATGAAGGAGCATTTTCCCAAAGATAAAGAAGTAATCAGCAAACACATGAAAAGATACAGGGCATCATTAGCTGTCAGGAAAACAGACATGGAAACCACAGTGTGATAATTCTTCTCACCCACTAGGTGGTGTTAGTAAGTGTTAGTGAATATGTGGCCAAATCAGAACCTTCAGACATTGCTGCTGGTAGAATTATAGAATGGATGCAGGTACCTAAGAAAATAGATTAGCAGTCTTCATTATATTCAACCTAGGACTGTTCTATGCATGGCTTACATAGTGCCCAAGGAAACTGAAAATATGTCCACTTCATGTCAATGTTTATAACAGTGTTCATAGTATTAAAAACAGGAAAGCAACTGGATGGCTGTCAGTCAACAATTGGTTAAATAAAATGAGTTCTCTGTCATGGACACAGCCACAAAAAAATGACCAACAGATACATGCTGTAATGTGAATGAGCCTGGAAATGCCATGCTTTCTACACCAGGTACAAAGCCACATATTACATATCATTCCACTTGAGTGAAGTGTCCAGAATAAACTAATCCATGCAAACAGAAGATGAATTACTAGTTGTTTGGGACCGAGAGAAGGGTGACGATGTCCCAGTTAGCATTACTACTGCTATGCTAAAACACTGTGGCCAAAAGCAAAATGGGGAGAGAGGGTTTCAGCTTAAAATTGCACAGCATGGTCCATCACTGAGAGAAGTTAGGTCAGGAACCTAGAGACAGGAGCTGATACAGAGGCCATGGAGGAATGCTGCTTACTGGCTTGCTCTTCATGACTTAATCAGCCTGCTTTCTTCTAGTACCCAAGATCACCAGCCCTGATATGATACCATCCACAATGAGTTGGGCCCTTCCACATCAAGAAAATGGACCACAGCCTTATTCACAGGTCCATCTGTTGGGGACATTTTCTCAATTGAGGTTCCCTCTTCCAAAATGACTATAGAGTGTGTCAAGTGGACATAAAGCCAGCATGCACAGGGTAATCAGGAATGCCTGGTGATGGGTGTGGATAATGAAGTATTCTAAAATTAGGTGATGGTAATGATGCTTTCAGAACGCGGAAGATACTAAAAGCTGCTGAATTATTTCCCTTAAAGTGATGGATTTTATGGGGCTGTGGATGGAGCTTCAGTGGTAGAGTTCTTGCCTTCTGTGCAGGAATTCCTGGATTTTATTCAGCAGAAAAATCAGAAATAAAGGTTATATTTTACTAAGTTTTGAGGGCAACTTAGGATACATGATATCCTGTCTCAAGGAGAAAAGGAGGGAAAAGAAAACTATTTTAAAGTACATGAATTATATCTCAATAAAACTTTTTGAGTTCCATACGTGCTTGGAATTATTAAGATCGTATTCATCCCCACCATAACTTACTTAAAAAAATAATAGTTCTAAAAGGTGCATTTCAAGTTTTCTTCCCTTTTGTGATTTTTCCTCATCTGTCTGCGTTTTCCTGTTATAATCATTAGAACTGTTGGTCAACTTGAGCAGGAAGGCTTTACAATCTGCCTTTTGGGGACTAATCATTTATATGGCTTATTTCTCCACCTTCCTGATTCACCTTGAAGACTCCTTGAGACTACTTTTAGTATTCCAACCAGGATACTGTCTTTACATGGTATATAGTGAAATATTTGTTAAAAATCTAGATTGGGAGAACAGAGGTAGAAATACATTTACATCTGCCATAGTGGTGGACGATATGAAGAGAATTGTGGGTGGGAGTGATGTTTGAACTGAATCTGTCTTCAGTTAAATCAGAGCTTTGTAGGCAGAACTGATAGTAAAGAGAAAGGACAATTATAAGAACAGTAGTAGTCAGCAGAGGTTCAGGCTACTCCTGCCACACCTGTACTCACTATATAACACGACCTCGCTACATTTTAGGAGTCTTGAGTCAGTCAAGGACATGTTAGGAACATTTTTGGAAGGTGCTCTTAAGTAGTAAGATAGGAAAATCTGAAACGTTTTAGATTTCATTGTATTAGTGCTGTAATTGAAATTAAAACACCATTGTTTCACACATCTATTTTAGGATGGCTTTAGATGACAAGATTTTCCAACGAGGCCTAGAAGTTGCCCTGGCTTTATCCGTGAAGGAACTTCCAGCAGTCACCAACCAAATGCAGACTTCTCAAGAGAAAAGTAATTCTATTTCCTGTGTTTATCTTTAAAAGTGTCTTCCAGTCTTTGTGATCATTTTTTAGGGTAGACCTTCACAGAGAAAGGAATACATTTAATCTATAAAAAACACTTGGCAGAGGGCATCTGTGGATTTAGTTCTTTATTCGGTTCTATCAGTGTCCCACATCACATGTCTTTGCTTGGCACATTCAGGAGCCTGGGGCTTACTGTGATGTGGGCTGCTTGACAGCATGATGCCATGCAGTAAGGGTCCAGTCTTGATCAAATGATCTGTACAAACCTAACACTCTGATTCCTTAGCTTTTAAATCTAAATTTCTTGAATATGACCTAATGGTGAACATTTGTGTGATCTATTAAGATTAGAGGCACCAACCTTCATAGAAAGTTCAATAGAAATGACTTCTAGATTTCTCTGTGATTTTTCACCTCTGAATTTTTTTTTTTTTCTTTCTGTAACCGTGTAGCATATGATATGGGTGAGTCTTTTGCTTTTTAAAGTTATTTATCTCTTTAAAAATCAACCATTTTGATTAGGAAGACTTAATCAGGAATTAGAAATTTCGAGAGTGTCAGCATGTACTATATCTGAAATTAGGGGGACAGAACTCATCTCAAAACACTGGATGTATAGCAGGAATTTTTCTTAGAAGTAGCACTCACTGAGTAATGCTCTTCATAGCATGGGGACCTAATGTTACCAATGTCATCATTTAAAGGTCCTCTAAAGGCTTGAGATTGGTCTTGTTTTATGGTGCTAAGGCTGAAGTGATAAGGCATACATGCTGTGCCTAATATTTTAGCTCTTTATTGTTTTTTAGGTTGTAATGATGGCAAAGAGTTTGTATCAGTTTCTTCTTTGTTGCTGTGATAAAAGACCATGACCAAGCGCAGTTTATAGAAGACAGTTTATTTTGGTTTGGGTTCCAGAGAGTTAAGGGTTTATAATGAATATCAGGGGGAACTTGGCAGCAGATGCAGGAGCAGAAAGCTGGCTGACCCTGTGCACACCCAGAACGGGACTGAACCTATACACTCTTGAGGCTTCCAGTGACTTCCTTCCTCCAGCAGGCTCCATCCACATCCCACTCAGTGTGCCAGTGGGGCTCAAGTGTCCAGATGTGTGAGCTTACGGAACAGTTCTCATTCAAGACCCCACCGAGCTTAAATTGCGCGAGTGTGGATTTGTCCACACACAAGTGACGCTGACTGACTGTATTTGGTCATACAATAAGCAGTTTCTACTTGAATTTAATCTTCTCCAATAATCACATAAGACATTATCCTCATATTATAGACAGGGAAATTAAATCTAGAGAAGAAAGGCAAGTTTACATATGGGACCTGTCTTATTTTAGAGCCCAAGCACATAGTATGTGCTAGCTCCTCTAAGTAAAACCACTGGGCTGGTGTGAGTCTGGGGTGGTTCATCCCAATCTGTGTGTTTGTGTGTTTGTGGTCGTCTTCCTGCTTTTTAGACCCTGATTGATTAGGATGCATCTGATGTGCTTTGCTTACTTCCTATGGTAGGTGCTGACAACCAAGGTGATGGAAAAACAAAAGTAACGGATAAGTCTCCTCCTGTGTCTAACTGCAGTGCAACCAGTGATAATTCAGGTAACTTTTGATGTTAATGATGGTTCATTTGCAGTGCTGTTTTTCTAACTTGTTTCAGTTCTTGTGCCTGTAGCTAGAACAAAGTCTTCCCATGTCCCAAGGCGCTCTATCTCCTGGCCTTTGTTTCTTTATGCTTTAGTCTTATTTTGACTGCAGACCTCCTTTCTTCCCCGCTGGGCAGTCATAACCACTCAGGCCCTCCCCTCCACAACAGGTGACCACTCAAGGGCTGCTTCTTCCCAGTACCATCTGGAGAGTTCTTTGGCAGTGACTCTTTAGAGTCTCAGACTAACCCTTAAAGCCAGAATCTATTGCTGGGAGAGTGATGGACTTCATCCCAGCGTGGCCTGTGTAGTGTGTTATTGGAAGCAGAGAAAGCAACAGGTTATAGAGTTTGCTCAGAGTTCTCACTGATGCTCCTGTCTCCAGAAGATGTGGACAAGATCGTGGAGGAGGGGGATGCCGGCAGTGTGGACGGGGAGAAAAGAATAACATCTAAAGCTGAGGCCCAGCGGAGGAGGGGCCTTTCGGAAAGCAGTGATGGCAGCAGTGCTAATGACACTGAGCCGGACAGTGCAGCTGGTGAGTGACATCCTGCTTCAAGCTAATCCTGTGGGAATTCAGTAAACACTTGTCGGGGAGCGGGGTGTGTGCAAAGCACCGTGTTGAGCCTTTGACGTCTGTAAACTCAAAGAACAGTTAAAAGGGAGAAACTGAGTGTAGGGGTAACCTGTCGGCCTTGTCTGGACAAACAAGTAGTGTTAGAAAAGCCAAGGGACAAAGTCTCGTTTCTGGCTGAGGGAAAAGCAAGAGCAGACAAACACGTTCAATGCGACTCCAGGGAAGAGGCCGGAGACACAGGCTGGGCTGCCGCTGGCTGTCAAACAACTCTTAACCCGCTAGCAGGTCCCAGCTTTTCTACAGCGAGTAGAAACTTAGGAAGTATTTTCAGTTGAAAGTTGTATGAAACAATTTTATTATCAGTTCTTTCCAGACTTAGTAGAAATTAGGGCAAAGGGAAAATGTGGTGACTTTGACATCATCATGTGTTAAAAATTTAAAAGAATAAGTCTGTACATTAATGCCAATCAGATACAGCATTTTAGATTTTAATCTGTCAGCAAATAACAGACCTATTCATCAACACTCACTGAACAAGTATTTGATGCCTATGATGTTTGCTATGTTCTAGGTGCTAGTAATGAGCAAAACCGTTCAAATTCTAATGAGGGATCACAGACAGTAAACACGCAGGTAATGTTTTTAGAGTTATGGTGTGCAAGCTGAAGGGCCTCAGGCGGCGGCTCGGTGGTAGGACACTTGTCTAGGAAGTGTGGTTTCCAGGGTTTGATCCCTGGGGCTGTAGAAAATAAAGCAGTACAAAGAAGAAGGAAGTGTGGAGTTATAAAAGTCTGGTGGGAATGAAGTGGGACTCGTTGTTTCATGTCGGAAGAGGCTGAGGTTTGAGGTCAGAAACCGCTTTCAGAGGCCAGAGCATCCCTAGTGTGTAGAGTGACAGTGAGGCCATTGCAGATGTGACAACAGAAGTCTCACTTTTTAGAACAAAGATAGAAAATATAGTTTTCTGTTTTAGGTGAAGACTCAGAAAGTGATTCTAATTTTGATGAGAGTGAAGAAAGTGATGAAGGCTTTGCAGCGAGAAAAAGTAAAGTTAAAGAAACAAAGAAGAAAGCAGTGCAGAGAAAACCTGCAGTGGACAAAGAAAAGAAATCAAAACACAAATGTGAGGAGGCATCAGGTAAACCTGCTCTCAAACTCGCCATTTTACTGAGTCCTGTTTGTAGGGTTTCCGGCTCTTTGCTAACACTCGTCTCTAGTTGAAAGGAACCCTGGATGGGGAGAAAAGCTGAGAATTCTGAGCCCTAGTAGCCACATGGACAATGAGTGTGGACCCTCCACCATTAGCACGCAGCCATCCCTGCAGACACCCTGAGCCCACATCTTACCTTCAGAACACTGACATTCAATATATGCTGGAGTTGTACACATCAGTGAGGCTCAGATCAATCCCAGATTTGCTTGTTTAGAGACTGGATCATGCTGTCTGGGTGTTAAATAGTGAAGCATGCATGAGCCTAAGTCCTTGCTTTCTTGCACAATGTGATCTTGAACCCATTTGCAACATCTTAGTGTTATTATTACAGTGAGAATTTGTGACAGCTTGGACATGGGACACATGTTTCTTATGTTCAAAAGTTAGACTATTTTTGAGCCTGTATTATATAATAGATTATTACAAAATGCTACTTTTATTATAAGATTTGTTTTATTTATTCATACCAATTTTTCTTTTACTTTCTTAATCCTCCTGCCTCAGTCTTCTGGCAGGTGTCTTATCACCATGACCTAGTAAGAAGTTTTGAACATGGAAGTCACTTCTAAAGAAACTTAAAACTGTGAATAGCCAGACTCCTGGCATAGCCTGTGGGTACATGACAGTACCTTGATTGTGCTCCTTACCTTTCCCACCCTTCAGACTCCTGCTCCACCCAAATAAATCACAACAAGAACTTGTGCTCTAGCATCGCCTGCTCTACTCTCTCTGCCAAGAAAACTTCTCTTCATTCATCTTTCCCCTCAGTCATGATTCAGCTCAACCCATGATCACCTCCTCTGCACCTCCTAAACACACACGAGATTCCAGGGTCCCTCCTACTGAGCATCCTTAGAATCTCAGCACATTGCAGTAGACACAGCTCTTCACTTTACTGTCCTCCCACTGATGTGTAGTGCAGGACATTAAGTTCCTTGGGAACAAACTGGACACATAGTGTGTTTAGTCTCAGGGTCTTCAACACTTCTCCAACATGTAGAAGAGGCATTATTTGTAAATGGCTACAAGTGTGGCCTTTGATGGCAAACCTTGTTTCTAATATGTGCTCCAACAAGAGCTGACAAACTACAGGCAAATTGCTTCACCTCTTCTCTGTTCCCTTATCTGATAGTGGCTTAGTGATCCTGAAATGGGAGTTGTCATAAAGAGTGAAAGTTCATGTCTGGCACATTGCCTGACACAGAAATGCTCATCCAAAGTCATGGTCCTTAGGCTTGCTGTCAGTGATGTTTGGTCTTTTGAGAACATCTTACTTTATAGCTTATGCTGCCTTTGAGTTTAAGATCCTTCTGCCTTAGCCTCTGGAGTACTGGGATTTCAGGAAGTCACTACCTCACCTGGACAGAAAATGTTTTTTTTGTATGTTTTTTTCAAATTTGTAACCTGTGCCTTTCGAATTTTTTGGAAGGTATGAGACTTCATCATATAATTTAGACTTGAACATTATCTTCCTGTATGACAGCTGCTTTGGTTTTGTTTGTTTATGTTATTCAATGACTTCAGAAGATGTGGCTCCAGCTGCCGTCAAGTCAGGATCTCCGTCCTTACCCCAGGCAGTTGGTCTTTCTTCTGAGCCCACTAGGAAACCAGCAGAAATGTGCAGCCCTTCAGCTAAAGCCAAGAGACCCAAATGGGTCCCACCAGGTATGGTAACTTGCTCTCAAGGGCACCAGCTTAGAAAGCTGCCATTGGTAGCTCTTTCCAGGTCACAGGAGTTATGGCTAAACAGGTCCCATGTTAATTTCACGTTTTTCCAAACCAGGGTTTTTAGCACTTCAGTTTATCGTCTTACCATTTCCTTATTAGGCGTCAAGGTTGAGTTTGATTTGTTTTTATTACTATAAATAAAACTACAGTAAAACAGAGACATTCTTATTTCAAAAATCTGCAGACACATCCCTATCACAGAGTCAAGGGGCATTAGTGAACTATATATATATATATATAGTTTGTTTGTTTGTTTGTTTGTTTGTTTGTTTCTGGCCACAACACAATTTTGCCTCAAGACCTGCTGCCCTCTACAGTTTCATTGAGTCCTTAGGCCTGGGGCATTTGAGCATTGTAACATGTAACAAATATTAATGCATTGGTAAATTTGAATTTGTATATGTTTGTTTTGCTGCGCATCCAGAAAAGTTGAAGACATTGACGTTTTTAGAGTTGGGGTTTCAGATTGTGTTGCTTGGCTGCCCTATGCTCTTCCTGAGCTCTGTGTGGGTCATTCTTTTGATCTGGTGTTGCCTGTGTCGGGCTCTGTGGAGCAGAACAACACCTAATGACTTGTTTGCCTGTGTTTTCTTGCAGCCGCCTCTGGGAGCAGAAGCTCCAGCAGCAGCCCACTGGCAGGAGCACCCACCAAGTCCCCGAATCAGAGCCTCCGTCTGGGCCTCTCCCGACTAGCCCCAGTTAAGCGTTTGCACCCAAATGTCACAAGTAGCCAAGTGCGGTAGCAGTAAAGGACCTGTGGGACCCTCAGTCCTGCAAGCCGGTTGTTGGATTCAACTTGCACATGAGGAACCCTTTAATGAGCCACATGAAGGATCTCTGCCTGTTGTGACTCTGGTCTCAGCAGAGCTTTTCTGTCCTTCAGCAGAGGGTGCTTGAGGGCTCTCCTCGTGCCACTCCTGAAGGATGTGTTGTGTTTTCCTGTCTCATCAGTCACTGTCACTTGGGGTTCTGGCACATCTGTTCTGAGTGTCCGTCTGGCAAGGGTTCCTTCAGGAGGTGTTTCGGAAGTCTTTCCCGCTAGTGAAAATTCTGCTTCTGTGCATATTAAAATGATTACTGTACTGTAGCATGTGTCCCCTACGTGGGGACAGATAGTTATTGTACAACAGGTAGAATGTAATAACACTTCATGAACTTTTCATTGTCAAAACTTTTACTAAGTGAGAATGTTTGAAATGTGTTCATTGATGCCATGTCTCCACCAGTCTGTCTACGTTTGGTAAAATGAGTTCTGTGGTCAACGTAAGCAATATAAGCGGAGTCTCACCATTTCAGATTAAACTGGAGCTTGGAAGACTGGCTGTCAATGTGTCACCTGTATTAGCTAGTGTAGCTTCTCAGGAAATTTAGATTCATTGTCAATAAAAGTAATTATTTTTATGGTGAGACTATAAACTTGTTCCTGATGACTCTTTAATAAAAAATTTAATGTTTACAATAAACCTATTTCATAGCTGTGAGACATTTGTTACCATGGGAAGAAGCAGTTTGAATTATGATTAAAGTGAGCATTAGCTTATTGACTTTTGTATGTTTTTTTCGTGTGTGTGTGTGTGTGTGTGTGTGTGTGTGTGTGTGGTGTGTGTGTGTGTCATTTACACTATTGTTCACCACCTTACCTACTTCACCATTCCCCTTAAAACCCCAATCTTCAGTTGGTGTTTAGTGTTCTGTGTGGTTTGGGTTCTGGGTTTTGAGACAGAGCTTCCTATATAACCCAGGCTGTCCTTGAACTCAAGGTCATCCTGCCGTAGCCTCCTTAGTGGTGGGTGTTTCCTGAGACTGAGTTAATTTGTATACTTTGAATAATAACCACTGTTAAGTGATAGTAACTGCTCACTGGCCCTCACTTGGGGACTTGGTTTTTCTTTAGATCCATATTACTTTTATTTAAAAGTTCCCACAGGGGCTGGAGAGATGGCTCAGTACATAAGAGCACTTGCTACTCTTGCAGAGGACTCAGATTTGATTTCCAGCACCCACATCCAGCGCCTTAAAACTGCCTGTAACACCAGTCCCAGCAGATCTAATACTCTTCTTCTGGATTCCAGTGGTGCATATGCATGCATACACTCAGACACAAATAAGCTAAAATCTTCCTCAAACTTAAAATGTGCCTAGCTACAAGCATTAATAACCACCAGTTGCCAGCCTCATAACTTCTCACCCAATTTTACCCACCCCAATCATCATACCCTGAAAACATTTTTCTCCTTTGGCTCATGCACCACCTTCCTGTCCACTGTAGCTTTCTGGTCTCGTGTTACCTACATCCACTTGCCGCAGCATCATACCTGCTTTAGACTACATCTGGCTTGTCACACAACCTATTGGTGCTGAGTAAAATGTCATTGTGCCTGTATGCCACTACGCTCGGTACCACTATGCTGATTTATTCCCTTGCTATTGTGAAAAGAACAGTAATGAGCATAGCTTTCTGTCAGTTACTGGTACCACCAACACAGGTGCCCAAGTGCAGTTCTAAACTATTCCACTAACTGGGTTTCTCAAAGCTACTCCTCCATCTGTCCTGTTATTCCTCTGGCACACTGCTTTACTGATCTGCCGTCTCACCTCTATTCTTCCCTTGCTTGTCCGTACTGTTACAGAGCATTCTCAAAATAAAACCAGCCTGAACAGTGGATGTGGTGGCAGCAGAGGAGAGTGCATCTCTTCTACTTCAAGGTCAGCGTGGTCTACATAGTGAGTTCCAGGCCAACCAGGGCTATATAGTGAAACTCTCAGAAAAAAAAAAAAAATTAGTAAATGAACAGCAGGGGTTCAGAGTCCACACAAACACCGAAGTCTGCCCCACACAAGCTGCTGGTGGTACTCGCTTGGCAAATGCTTAAGGACTTGAAGACTCAAACTCAACTGCTTCTTTTCAGTGAGTCCTTCCTGTGCCAAAGCCCCTCAGGACAAGCCAACATCACTTATAATTCCATATGGTGCTTTCTGAAAAGTGGTACAGACTAAATGCTCAAAGTGGACAACATCTCGTGAGGAAATTCAATCCAGGGCTTTTATCTACTTCTACATACTGTTCTTGAAGGTGCTTGGAAATTTTCCAGTCTGGTCTGTCTAACTTTAATCTCAGGGTCCTGGAATTTCTTTCATATCGTGGCTGATCCATGAACTGGGGAGAGGAAAACTAAGGAGAAAGATGTAGTCTTTGGCTTGGGTGAAAGATAGTTTGGGCCTTGACTGGGATAATCCTATTCAGTTCAGAGTCACAAAAAGGGCCTGAGCCGTTTCTACAGCAACGGAAAGAGGGTGTGGCCCTCCCTGTGCAAGGCTGCTGGCTCACCCTAAGCCCCTGCAGAGGTCCCTGTCTATGACAGCCCGATGCAGCTCCTCCCACTTCCTGCTCTCATCCGGACAGAGTAAGCGCCAGGGAGAAGAGGCTTGCGATGGGCGCAAACCCTGAGCCAGCTAGGGCCGGGTCCACTTGGGGCAAGTGGAAAGGGAGAAGGGAAGTAAGAGCAAGGGCTGGGACGGGTGTGCGGAGGAGAGGAGTCTCTCAGGCCTTGCCAGCTGCACGCTCCTGAGCATCCCGACTCTCCTACTAATGGAACATTGCGTTAGGACTCCAGCAGAGTGTCAGAAGGGAGGCAGCGGGTGGGACTCCAGCAACTTGGGGCATGAAACTGTTCATTTCCACATTGTCATTGTCACTGCATGTGGGTGTCATTGTCACTCACACACACACGCACACACGCACGCACACACACACACAGCTCAGCCCTTTGACACAAGAATGTCCCAAGGAGTGTATGGATCACATGCCTAGATCAACTTTCCTCAATGATGCTTGCTTGCCCTGCAGGAAAGTCCCCAACATTGGCAATATGGTTTGTTTCAGAGGTAGTGGGCACACAACTCTGACCAGTGTCCAGGCCACTTGGGGCTTAGTTTTTAGAATCACCAGTTTACATAATCATAACTTTGGATAGAAGCATCTTGTGAGATTGTCCTTTGTCTTGCTTGGGAGGTGGGGTGGGGGTGGTTGCAATTCTAAGAAATCTTCAAACATGGCCCATGCCTGTAATCTCAGTGTCAAGAGGCAGAGAAGCAGGGGATGCGTGTTAAGTTTGAGGCCAGCCTGGTTAACATGGCAACATAGCAAGTGTCAGAGCAGCCTGGGCTACTGCCAGGCCTTACTGCCCGGGGACTTAATCCTTCTCTATTTCAGTCTTTAGCCAAATGAAGATGGGAACTGAAGGCCTATCTGGCAGTTTGCCAACCACTCCTCTGACTTCACGCTTTCCAACTACATATGGTCTATACCTCAGCTAAAATGAGTGCTTCTCAAATATGGGGCACCGAATTGTGGTTTTAGCTGACTCTATCCCCCATGTATGTTTGATATGACCAGCTAAAAGGGAGAAAAGGCTAGTGTAGACTGTACTCAGTAAGTCACCAGGACCATCAAGGGACGAAACAGGCACACTGCCTGACCTAGCAATGATAAGAACACAAGACTCCTAGAAACGGTAGCTACTTTAAGAAAAAATAGAGTAAAATAACCACAGTGCCATCTTAACCTGCCAGGCCTACGGTGTGCTCCATTGTGGAAGAGGTTCAGGCAAACCCCCACAGGCTGCATTGGGTAGAGTACACATAGGGGAGAAAAACAAGGTTTTTATGTTCTGAATACTCAAAAATTCTTGGATGGAAAGGAGGATAGATTTGTTCTTTGTGTTTTTGTGAGGATAGAAAAGAGAGGTGAGAATAATATCTTGCGTAATGTGAAGTACCCTTCCCACAAATACTTAACAAGCATCTACCATATGTAAATTAACATCTCAGTATGAAGGGGGCTTGTTGGGAAAAATTTCACTGTCTCAGGAACACTCCAGCACTGACAGGTGATTACTGGGGAGACTAAAGGTCCCTGCACCACCTGAGGGCATGGAAGAGAGGGTTTCCCAAAACCTCCAGCTCTTACAATTAAGTTACTGAATCATGAAGAATTCAAAGACTCATGTAGAGGGCTGAGGAGTTGAATTTGCTTTATCAGGGTGTCATTTAAATAATTAAATAATCATGTCCCTTTTTGAAGAAATATAAGGAGAGTTACCCTAACCTTATTCTACCACTATATCCATTTCAAGGACAACCCCCAACTCATAAAGGTCAAGCCACCGCCAACTGCAGTAGAGATCTGCAGGTGACCTCAAGAGACATTTTCCCTTTGGACATTAGTGTCCTGTGTACACAGGTGCATATGTTTAAAATTCCACACAATAGGATTTTAGTAACAGTAACTCTGTCACCTCTGCTTCCAGATTCCAAACTTTCTGAGAAATCCATTCTCCTCGTCTTTCATTATACTCAGCACCATCGTTGGCACTGGGCTGATGCTCTAGTTCTTTGGTGAATTAATCTAAACTCTCTTAGCTTTCTCCTCATTCAGCAAATTCATACAAAGGGTTTTCAATAGAGACCCATTGCCATGCTCAAGCTTATGAGGAACTGAAAAATATAAGTACTAGCTCACCGCCCATGGCCCCATGAGACTCAGGATCAAAATGACACAGAAATTTCAACACCTTTCCAAGACAATTAAGTGATGCTAATGTTGTTGACAAAGGGGGTTCACACAGGGAAGGGCTGCTCAATCCAGGAGGGGAAGAAGGGGTGTGGAGATGGAAGGCAATTCTGACCTGTATGTAAGATCATCTTTTCCATTTTAGATTCATTTTTAAATGGCCACCACTGCAGCTCTGAGCTAAGTTTATTATCGTCAAGCATTACTGTAATAAAATGTAAAGGAAAGGTT